ATCATATGCATGTCGATCACTCAAATTTCATAGTAAAAAATTTACCCCCGTGATCTGCGTGAAAAATCGTGTGACTGGTAGTACGTAGCATTTAACTTTTACGTACGTAGTAATCGTATAGTACCTTTTTTGGTAATTCACCGATTTTTTTTTTTTTGCTTGATTGCTACGTATAAATACATTTTTCGACAAGCGAGAAAAAATTTTTTAGGTGCGTCGGTAGTTTTAAATCAAACAGAACTTTGAACCACTGCTCTGAATAGAGGTTTTTTTTTCAATCGTTCGAAAAAACATCAAAATTTCCAATAAAGTTAAACTGTAAGACCTAAGTTCTAAAAAAAAACGAGCGAACGATTATATATTTTTAAGCGCTAACTAATAATAATTGGATTTCCATATCATATGATCTGAACATTCCTTTATAAAAGGAGAGGGCAAAAATCTATTTAATAAGAGACTATACTCTCCATCACCTACCTGATCAAAAACCTAACTAATCAAATTTAACGAATTTATAAAGACCTGACTAAACAAAAAAAACCCCCGCACTCTATAAAATTGGCTTATTTCTGTCCTTCCTATAAGACGTAAATAAGTGACATAATATATCTACACTTATTGAAATGAATAAAATAAATGAGATATAGGTAACGGTAGATATTTAAATCTGAATGGTTTAAACATGTTTTTACCAGCTAAACCAATGTGGCGATAGCATTAGGTGTTATTATTATCGCGTCGTGGCACCCAGTTATTATTTCGAAGATCAATAACATCCTGTTATATTATTTATGTTATATTATTTAAGATGTCACCATAAAGAAAAATATAAATCTTAATAAATAATAAATAAATAAATGAAGTATACCATAATCATAAACCTAATACTGCTGGGCAACTTCGTATTTTTGGACATGTCATCCATACGAAGGAAGTAGGCATCCATGTGTATTTTCGCCTTCGCATGATCAAGTTGTTGTCCTACTGTCGTCATGAGTTTGCACAATCCTTCCATTTCCTCCTTTTCAGGAACTCCATGAACTGTTAAAAATTTTTTAATAGACTGGTGTATGATGCGCTCAGTAAGCATATTCAACTTAAATAGTTCACCAATAAAGAGTATTAAACCAAGACCACGTCTTTTTGCTTTAGCAATATAGTATTCATCTGACATAATATCAGCTTCACCTTTTTCATTTGAAGGAATTGGAAGATTTAACTTCCTACCTTTTTCGAAATCTTCTTGACATCTATTTAGTAGATACTTTCTGAATAATGTAGCTCCTTGAATAAATTTACCCTCGGAGTTTTTAACATTCTCATCCACTATTTCAATATCAACTCTTTCCATCATTTTACGACAAAGCCGTGCATATGTTTGAATAAAAGCTGGCCCATCAACAAATTTCTCGAAAATAAGTTGGATAATCTCTTTAATTATACGACCATCTCTTTCAAATCTAGATTTATTCGCATAATCAATAATTTGGTCCGATATACTATCGAAGTTTGCTAATGCTAATTTGTTTAAAAGGGCCTTCACTTTACGTTGGACAACTTCAATTGGCATAAATTCATCTGACGCTCTAAATGTAGTTTTATCTTGAGATATCTGATATCTGTCTTTTTCACGTTTATGACGGCTCTTCTTGGACTTAACAACTTCAATTTGAATAAATTCATTTGACGTTCTAGGTATGGGATTTGCTACGCCAGGATCCTCTATAGGCTCGAAAGATGTAATTTTTTCTTGTCCCTCGGTCTGAGATAGCTGATATTCGTCTTTTTCACGTCTACGACGGTTCATCCTTGACTTTTTTTTGTCATCCTTAGTCACATCCATACCAATTATAGCATCGGATTCAGATAAATTTTCTGGTCTCTCTTTACAAATATTCATGAATTGCATCAAAAAGGTACGATCATATTTATATTTTCCAGGCAAAGAATTAATATTTAAATTAGGATTAGGAGCTTTGATATGTGGTGGATATTGTACAGAATTTAGATCATCAATCATACGAGCGTTGCTAAGTGCAGAAGTTGGGACTGTACGATCATGTCTAAAATGGCTCATATTAGACCTTTCGTTTTTATCTTTAATCGCATCCATACTAATCATAGTATCGAATTCAGATAAGTTTTCTGGTCTCTCTTTACAAGTATTCATGAATTGTATCAAGAAAGTACGATCATTTCCAGGTAAAGAGTTAATATTTAAATTAGGATTAGGAGCTTTAACATTTGGTGGATCTTGCACAGAATTTAGATCATTAATTATGCGAGCGTTGTTAAGTGCAGAAGTTGTAATTGTACGATCATGTCTAAGATAACTCATATCACTCATAGCATCGAATTCAAATAAATTTTCTGGTCTCTCTTTATAAACATTCACAGAACTTAGATTCACAGAACTTAAATCATTAATTATATGAGCTTTACTAAGTGTAGAAGTTGTAATTGTACGATCATGTTTACGACTTGTCTTTGACTTTTTTTTGTCATCCTTAGTCATATCCATACCAATCATAGCATCAAACTCAGATAAATTTTCTGGTCTCTCTTTACAAATATTCATGAATTGCATCAAAAAGGTACGATCATATCTATATTTTCCGGGTAAAGAATTAATATTTAAATTAGGATTAGGAGCTCTGATATTTGGTGGATATTGTACAGAACTTAGATCATCAATCATGCGAGCGTTGCTAAGTGCAGATGTTGTACGAGAACCCAATGGTCTGGGTTGAACCAAATTAAGGTAGAGCCCTTTTTGATTTTTCATGCCACCTATAATCATTAAATAAATTTTTTAACCAAAAACAATTTCTGATTTTCCAATTTAATGTTTAAAAAATATAAATCGTAAAAATCATACTTCTCATTTATTTTGAGAAAGTTTGAAAGTCAAATAGCATCTCAAATTTTGGTTTAAATAACGATAAGCATAGTTTGATTTCATTGAATGATAGACAAGAATTCTGATTGGTTAAAATTAAACTCGCATTACTGTTACCACTTTGTAAACCGATTGGGATAACGATAATCTTCATTTAAAATAAAAATCAGAAAATCTTATTCTATTTTTCCGATTTATTATAATTCGACATAACGCGTAACTTTTTCTATATAATTTGGAAACTCTCAAGTCTAGCTTGTTCACGTGAATTTCGAAACTTTTTTACGTATTAGCTTGTTGTCCCAACAGCTTTGTGTTACATACCAATATTGTTAGAATCGCTTCTAAGGGTAAGTACGTATAGGAATTTTAAAAAGCTCGGCAAGATAGCTTCCTTATTTGGGGGATGGCTAAAGCCATGTACACACGTGATTTTGTGTTTATCTCCTAATAGAACTAAAAAAGCTCATTTATAGTAGATGGTTAACTGAATAAACCTTTAAAAATTATAGAAAAACGACCTACTAAGCAACATATACCTTAATCAAACTTGTTATATGGTAATATATAAAAACATTTAGAACTCAGATAGAGATTACTTACTACATGATTTAATAACCTTTGTAACAAACCTAGTTAATGAACTATAAGTTTTAATACTATTACATCTATGGCATTATATAAAAAAAAAAATAAAAATTACTATTACATCGGTATACATGTAGAAAATTTAAGAAACATGTGTTTTATTTTTTCACTACAGCAATAATTAGTCAAGACATACATATATAAAATTTAGGGTTAGAATCAGTGTTTAATATTTAAATTTGATTTTATGTGTATTAGCGTTAGAAAATAAATTAAGTAATCAAACCCGGAGTAACGCATACCGTAAATGTGCGTACACAAGATCCCCTGAAATTGAAATAGCAGACCCACCAAGAATTAGAGCCGGGTGCGAACCAGATCCGGAGTCTATAAGTGGTTTAAAAATTGGTGGAATGTAACAGACCCGAATTTTGCATACGCACATTTACGGTACCTAGTTATTATAAAAATCTGATGCGATTATCCCGCTTACCAAAATTCTATAATCCACTAAACTCAAATTTTGTTCTTGAATAAGATCACCCGTACTTCGCGTGAAGTCACATGATTTTGTGAATTGTATACTAATCTCATTTCTAATCCTGAAACAACTTATGAAAAATTAGCTGTCAATTTCAAATCCATCAATGTGAATAAAAAAGAGATATTGTGTGATATTTATTAATAAACGTTTTTTGCACTCACGGACCAAATATAAAATGAACTAAATGGTACTGTTAGACCTAAAACTATCTTCCCCAGTATCGCCAACAAATTTTTCTCGATCACGTGATGATCGATAAAATTGTTTAAGTTCGTTTATGTT